TGGCTCATGCGCGCAGGGACACGCCGTCTTAAACCAGAGCTTCTGAGAATTTACTGACAGGAACAGTCATAATACACTGCCAAGAAAAACACTCAGGTTGCAAGACAGTAATATCATAATGTGGTCCCAGCTTGGTTTTAAAATATTTATGTGTATGTGTTTATAAAGAATTTACAGACAGATGGATAGAAATATAGATACATATATAATACATAGACTATATTATATAAAAATAATTTATATACAACTTATGTAAGGAATATACATAATTTATATTATACACAATTTATTATATATATATATATATGCGGAGTGTGTGTGCAAGTGGGACCTCGTGTGTACATACAGTATGAAAGATACACACCCAAATGTAAAATTATTCTCGTTTTTCTTAGCTATTAGTATTATAGGGATATATTTTTTTACTTGTCCAATCTCTCAATTTCCTACTACAGTGAATATGTATTAATACTATTTTTGCAATATTTTTAAACAGAGGTATTCAAGATTGAGTCCCCCCCACCACCGTGGGGCCCCAGGACTCACCCTGGACAACCAGCTGCACCTCCCTGTGCTGAGAGCCGGCCGTATTGGTGACCACACAGCTGTACCTCCCTGCGTCTTCCTGCAGGGCCTGGTCCAGGTGGAGGCTGCCGTCGGCTCGAATAGAATGCCGGCTGCCAGGTGGGAGCTGGTGAAGGTGAGGAAGCACCAGGTTGGACCACAGGCCCCATCCAAAGCCAGCTAAGAGAGCCCTCAGAGACCGCACTGCCCACCAGGCCAGCAGGGAGCAGGCTGGACTGAGAAGGTGGGGGAGTGGGCGAGGGGTGACGCCAGGACTGCCCAGCCCCAAGCCCCCTCCCCTGAGTCTCATCCACTCCCACAGACCCTCAAGAATAGGTGGGCCTGACCCCTAGCATACCCCTGACCTCACTCTCCCATGGTCAACAGGACCAGGACAAGACGCCTGACCCAAGCCGGGTCGATGGGAACCTCTCCTGGGAGTGTGGGGTTGGGGCCAGAGCCTTTACTGAGCAGAGGCGGGAACTCCAAGGCCACAGAGAGGAGGGACATCCTGCCTTCAGGGAGAGAACAGAGCCATGCAGGGCAGACCCGAGGAGTGGCCACATCAGGTGTGGTCCCAGAAAGAGAAGCAGGGATGGTGGCTCCTGGTGGCTGCCCAGGTTGCCATCAGCACCAGGAGGCGAGCACCGGTCCAGAACGGGCCCAGGACAACCTCCATAAAGATGTCCAGCCATCAGTCCATCCTTGGAGGGGCCTAAAACTTTCCCACCAGGCCTGGCCCCTTTTCGGCCTCCCTGATCCTGTCCCGTGAGCCTGACTGCCCATCCTGCTCTCAAGTTCAGGAGATGCTCCTGGATGTCTCAGCACCAGGCCCTTTCGGGCTGAGCAAGCTTGAGGGGCTTTCTTTTTTTTTTTTTAGCTGAGCCATCCTGCCACCTGTTGGCAGCTCAGCGGCAGCTCAGCTCAGGCTGTGAATCAAACTGGTGACCCTGTTGCTCAGAGCTCGCACTTTTGAGTGAGCTCTTAACTAACTGAGCCCCTCGGCCGGCCCTTGAGGAGCTTTCAGCTCCTTGTACTCAGCAGCTGAGCAGGCAGGGCTCCCCTCAGTGTCCCTTCATCTCCGGCCACTCCCTGTCCTGGCATCGACAAGGCCCACAGCCACTCCTTCCCCCATGCCCATCACTCCCGGCAGAGTCCTCCTCGGGTCATGTCTAATTAACACAGGCTGACAGTGAGCCACCATCATCACCACCAGCCTCTGCAAAGCCTGCACGCTCTGTGAGCAGCGCTCTGTCTGCCTCATGCAGGGGCAGGGACAGCGGGAACAGAAAGATGACCACGCAGTCACTGCCTCCCTGGGTGTCCAGCATCCGCCCATCTGCTGGTGCTTTGAAGAAAATGGGGGTGAGGGCACCTCTTTATAGCCTCAAGGGCATAAGGACCCCAGTGTGTCTGAGGACAGGACAGAAGAATTGAGGGGAAGGGAGGCAAAGGCTTTAACAGGAAAGGGCAATAGGAGAAAATAGGGCCGACCAAGTGGCTCAGTTGGTGAAGAGCTCGCTCAAGAGTGTGAGCTCTGAGCAACAGCGGTTTGATGCCCGGCCCGAGCTGAGCTGCCGCTGAGCTGCCAACAGGTGGCAGGATGGCCCAGCTAAAAAAAAAAGAAAAAGAAAAAAGAAAATAGGGAAAACCAAATCCCTATGAGTGGATAAAGCAGATAAAGCAGCCACTCTGCCCAGCACCAAGCTAGGTAGTCAGGCAGATATTCAACGGTGCAGGTCACATCTCCGCTCTGGGTCCATCGGGACACGAGTGACCAGTGTATCGTGTCTGTGCCCTACTAAATTCGTGCTCCCAGCCCTCCGCACTAACGGAGGCCAGATCCTCCTGCCGAGCTCCAAGGGGGCTGGCAGCCACATCGAGCCTTGGCAGGACTTTAGAGGGTGATGATGCTATAGCACGTTATCAAAGAAGGTTCTGGAAAGAGGCAGGGAAGAGAGGGAGGAAGGAAGAGGACATTCCCAAACAGGGGAACAGCAAAGCACAGACCAAGGCATGGATGTGACAGCCCCCTCGGTCCCCAGGTGCCACGGCCCACCACACCCGGAGGAGCCCAGCACTCACTGGCAGACCAGCCTTGAGCCAGCGCCTCTCGGGGAGGGGCCTCCCGGCCAGGATGACACACGGCAGGGACACGGGCTGCCTCTCCAGCACCCGGATGGTGGAGGCACTGCTGGCAATCTGGGGGAGAGCTGTGGGGAGAGGAGATGGCATTGAGCACACTAGATTCCTGTGGGTAGTTATCTGGGGGACAGAGGCCCTCACTTCTCCCCAGGGGAGCCCAAAGGGGTCAAAGGGCACATTTCCTGGGGCACACTGCCCAGGAAGCAGGAACCTAGATGCTCCTCTCGGAGAACTTGGCTGTGGACACATCTGTCCCAAAGAACGGGTGGCCATGGGGGGGGCCTCCCTGGGGGTACCCCCACCTCCCCACCTCCCCCGCTTCTCCAGGTCCACCAGCGAACCATGTCCAGTCACCACGAGCCGGGCCTCCACCTGGACTTTCCCAAAGACATTTTGAGCTTCACAGACATACAGGGCCTGGTCTTCGGGGACCACACCTGAGGGGCAGGAAGGAGACAGGCCTGACTGTCGGGGCACGCCAGGGCTCCAGCCCCCACAGACTCCATTCCCCAGCGCACAGGGAGCCCTCGACACAGCCTGGCCCTGCAGAGGTTAGGTGGGAGGGCTGAGATGGCAAAGAGGAGAGGGAGGGGGCAGATAGCCAGGACTTGTAAGGGTGAGAAGGCCTCAGTTTGCTCATCTTTAGAATGGGCATAATTTATCAATACCTGTACCTTATAGTGTGATTGGGGGTGATCGATAAGATGATGGGACTACTGTGCCCAGCATCCAGCCTGGCACATTGTAAATAGGAATAGCAGCTTTAGTAGTAGTAGTGATGGTGGGGATGACAATGGTGATGACAATGGTGATGATGATGGCTGACGCCTATGTGTCAGGAACTGTGCTAAGCATTTCATGCATACTGCCCACACAACAACCCCTTAAGGTAATTAAACCCAGGTAGTAGTACTATCATTATCATTATTATGGTTCGTTCAATTTACTGAAATGACTTGACCAGAGTCACCCAGCTAAACATGACCCTGCCTCACCCATGGTCAGTGCGGGGCTCAGGGTCCTGCTCCCAGACACTCAGCCTAGCGGCTCAGGGTATTGGAAGCCATCCTGTCTCCCCTGCCCACCCGCCCCCAGCCCCAACTTCTTACTTTCAAAGAACAGCACCCCTGAATGGGGCTGCCTGGACCCGCTGCCCCGCCCAGGCTCCAGTGGCCGGCCGTCTCCACGGCGCCAGGTGACTGTCGGGGGCGGGCGGCCCACGGCCCGACATGCCAGGAGGGCACTCCTGCCCAGCTCCACGGTGACATTCCGGGGCAGCTCCGTCAGCTGGGGCGCATCTGCAGAGGTGACCCGTCAGCCACGCCTGGAGGCTTGACCCACCCGCCCCCAGGGGACTGTTCCCAGCGCCTGTCTCCCCTCCCATCCCTGGGAGGTTCCCCCTCTTCCAGCCTCACCCTCATGAACCTGGGGGCTGACTCAGATCCAGGGCTCTGAGGTCAACCTGAGCTTTGCGGGGTCCACCCCTGGAGAGCTTTCAGGAAGGGGGCGGAGGGAGCGGCTTTTGGCGGTGTGAAGCTGCCGACACACGCCTCGTAGGCCTGAGTGGGGTCATGGGGACCTCGCTCTGCCCAGACGCGTAGGGGAACAACACGCCTGCTCCTGGGAGTGACGCTTTCCGGAAGCCCACCTCGGAAGGGCTGCAAGTCACGCTCCAGCCACAGGAGCCTCTAGGACTCCCTCGCCCTTCTCCTGGGCCACAGGGAGCTTCCTCGTGCAGGCGTCCTGGTTTTGGGCAACCATTCCCACACCACCCCAGAGAACCAAGTTCATGGGAAGTTTCTAGGCCATCTTTAATCTCTTCTCTACGTCCTTCTCTGTTGCTGAACTTTTTGTAATGAGCGTATAAAGCACTATTACAAAATCAAAGCATGCTTATTATAAATAATGTGACCTCACGCTTTATGGTCCAAACGGGGACACTGGAGAGTGAAAAGGGCCGTATTAATAATAATTACACCAGGACAACAAGGCTGCCTGGCTCACTTGAGTTATAAAAAATGTAAACACACACAGTAGTATAGTTCCCTAATTTTTGCTCCACACACCCCCAGATCCCATGCCCCTCCCCAAGATAACCACTGCTAATAGTTTGTAGTGTTTCTTCCAAACTTTTGTTGTAAGCATTGTCTTACTTTTATAATCAGGGAGGGAAAATAAGTTATTTCCCCAAACAGACTCTCGTGATCCTTTCAGCCCTTCGGCAGGCCAGGAATAGGTCCAGCTCCAGACAGGTCCAGGCCCTGTCCTCTGCACCTCTGGACACTGTCCTCGGGACCCTGTCCAGACCCATGGCCAGGAAGGTCCCCCAGCCTTGATTAACGCTTTGCATCCAGCTCCATGGAAGATCCTCAGCTTTGTTCTTTCCATCTCTCTCCAGAAATCTACATCCAAATCATGACATCAAATTTCCCTCCAGGCCTCGGGGATTAGGGAAGTTCCAGGGAGATATAAACAGAACTTGGAAAATCACTACAAGGAGGAAGACAGTCTTGGACCCAGCCGCAGACACCACCCGCACGCCTCTTTTCTTTCTCATCGGGGTTTGGCAGCTGCCGCGGTTCAGAGTCCCAGGAAGCCTCTGCTCCCGGCTCGCCTCAGACAGGGTTAGGGGTCCTGCAGAGCTCTGGCCCCGGGGACACAGCTCTGCCATCACCTCCACCCTGGGTAGAACTGGGGCTCAACCCCAGGGCCAGGTACCCTCAACGCCTGCCTTCCCCACTCCACCCAGCCCGCCTGCAGGGCCCAGCGCACGCCTCCCTCCTCCAGGCCGGCCTCCCATCCACGTCTCTCTCAGATGCTTCCTGAGTCCCTCCCTCCTTTGCCCCCAAACAGCCCAGCTTTGTCTCCTGACTCTGGGCTATCTCAAAGCACACTCTCATCGTCCTCCCAGGCCTGAACGACCCCCTGAGAAGGGACGGACCCTTACAATAATAAGCAAATAGTAAGTACCATATTTCCCCATGTATAAGACGCTCCCATGTATAAGATGCACCTTAATTTTGGGGCCCAAAATTTGAAAAAAAACATATTACATAAAGTTATTGAACTCAAGTTTTATTCATCATAAAACTCATACAGCTTCTCATGACTTGCGGGAAATGCAAGTAAAAAAATCTACAACCACTGTAAAAGACGCACCCAGTTTTTAGACCCCAAATTTTTTGAAAAAGGGTGCGTCTCATACATGGGGAAATACGGTATAAGGGTAGCATCTGGAATGCCTGCTAAGTGATGGGCATGGAGCTGGTGCTTTTAGGAACATGATTTCATTAACGATCTCAATATAACTCATGAAGTGATAGTATCATAGCCCCATATTACAGATGAGGAAACTGAGGGTCAAGGAGATGAAGGAACCTGCCCAAGGGCACAACTCAAAGTCAACGGCAGAGCTGGAATCAGCCCAGGTCTGGCGGCTGCTAAGGCCCCGGCTCTCCACCCCCGCACCCCTGCATCCCCCTCTGTGCTCGCCCCAGTCAGAGCCGCACCCAGCTCTTCCACCCTGTCTCAGGGAGAATCCCAAAGCAGCCAGACCCTGCCTGGAAAACTGCCTCAGCCTCCTCTGCAACCATTCCCCGTTCCTCACCTGGAGTCCCCAGATAAGGCGGGACCCCAGAACCCTCATATGCCAGAGCTGAAGGTCCTCTAGTCCCTATGTCGACCAGAAGAGGGGGCAGGGTGGCCCTGAGGGCTGCAGCACTTGGTGGGTGAGGGGCCAGGCTCCCAGCCCAGTGTTCTTCCTAGAGCCCCACCCTCGGGGCTCAGCCACCTCTGCTGTCAGTCTCTGAGCAAGGCCCCTCCTCACAGCCTCCCAGGTGACCTGCAGTAACCCCGGGAGGGACCACGAGCTGGCTCTACCTATCTGCTTTCCCCAGGAACGGCCCTTTCATCTCACCCGGCCAGTTCTCTGGGGCAGAAACCGCAAATGCCCACAGACAGTTGGGCGTCACAGCAGCTGCCAGGCTCTCCGCAGAGGCCCCGGTCTCCTCCGTGGAGGCTGCAGCCACGTGTTTGTGGGGGGCAGCTCTGTGTGGGGAATCGGGAGTACCCAGGAAAACGGCCCCTCTGAAGCATGAGGGGGCAGGACAGGAGCGACTGGCCACCATGAAGGCTGCTTCTGCCTCCCCCGTCCCCTCGTCGTCAGGGGAGCTGAGGATGAGGTTAACTGGACCCAGCAGGTTGGGCCACACTCCCCCCAACGCCAAGACCCCCGTGGGTTCTAACAGCCTCAGCCCAGCGGCCATGACAGAGGTACCAGCTTCCTTTCCTCCTACTTGGCCTCTGGGGCCAGGAGCACCCACCTAACAGCCCACAGCCTGGACAGGGGCCCCCACTCTGCCTCAGCCCCACTGGGCACCCCTGCATGAACCCCTTCACTACTCTGGGCCTCAGTTTCCCCATCCAGAGAGAGGTAACTGTGTTTTCACCCTGGTTCCAATACCTTAAGGTTCCAGGGCTTTTTATTATCAACTGGAGACCCTGCAGCCCCCCAGTCTCCTCTGCCACATCCGCACCCCACCGCTGTGCCAGACCCTGTGGCTCAGAGCCCTGGGGCAGGGCCGGTGGGGACGAGCCGCTCAGGAAGGCGAGCTCGGTCAGCCTTGACTCAGGTTAGCCAGAAGGGGAGAGACGGACTGTGGGTGGGCAAGATGACCACAGGACAGGCTGGCCTTAGGCCCACCCTGCATTCAGAGGGAACCCCAGGGTGACTGAGACTGAGCCAGGGGCTGGGAAGAAGGGCTTCCGCAGCCCCCTCCCCCAAGGACTCCTTTCTCCATATAAAGGTGCTATGACTGGGCCTGGAGCCTCAGGCCACTGGCTGCAGGGGGCCTTTTATGGGCCTCTTCTTCCATAAAGAAGTATTAAAAATTATATTTTATGGCTGCATTGGTATAAAGACTAACACAATCCAGCTGGATTCATTTTTATCTATTCCTTTTTTTCTTCTGATTTTAAAAGACATTAAAATCAGAGCATCGTCCTGGGCCCCTAGAAGGACTGCAGGTCCTGGGCCCGCAGTGCCTGGTGGGGAAGCCCCCCCTCATTCTGTCACAGAGCCCACTTCTGCTTCTCTCCTGCTCCCCCAGGCTGGCCAGAGGGTCTTTGCACCCACAAAAGCACACCTCCTGCTCCCCTACTGTCCACTCAGCAACCAGGGGCTCCCAGTCTGGGAACAGGAAGTGGGGACTGGAATGACAGCAGGAAGAGGGATGGGCACGCATCCATTTAGAGCAGCGGTTCTCAACCTTCCTAATGCCGCGACCCCTTAATACAGTTCCTCATGTTGCGGTGACCCCCAACCATAAAATGATTTTCGT